CGGAAAACTGTTCTGTTCTGTTCTAATATGCACTTCATCGGATTTTTTTACGCCGGTATTGTTACTATTTTTAGTAACTTTCCGGCCGAATGAAAACTTTCATTCGGCCGGAAAGTTACTAAAAATAGTAACAATACCGGTGAAGTGACAGAATTGAACTGAATTGAACAATTTTCCGTCGTTAGCTTCATTAATATTCATATCCAAAGAGCGGGATTTGTAAAATGTTTTCATTGGTCAATGCAAATGTCACATTTATAAATAACAACAACAACAACAAGCCAGCATCTGAATTGTTAGGGAATTGTCAAACATCTAGTCAGAAGTTTCTTAATTATTACACATGAGGAAGTGAGAAGTTTTTTTTATTCTAAAACTAAGTGCTACAGTTATCGACAGGTTAACCCAAAAAAGCCATCGTACAATTATCGATTTGTTTATTTCCATTTGATTGAATTCTACTATGTAAAACAATCGTTGATTGGTTGTTTAGAAGGGTATTTCCCGGTTCCAATTATTTTTACACAGCGTGACACTCGGTAGTAACTACTAATTCTAAGGCTGTAGTTATCGACACTTGGACGCAATTATCGACAGGTACTTTTTAATTGAGGACACTAATCCTTTTTAATGGACATATTGATAATAATTATGTTTTATAATATCATGACAATCATTATATTGCAAAAAGTATTTACTTAAATTAATAAATCATGTGTTTGCAATTTATTTTTTTAATTGAATTGAACTTTGAACCCAAGTTGCAGACCCCTAAATTTTAAGAAAAATGATAAGTCAATAACCAATTTCAATTTTTTATTCAGATATATTGATGTAAGCAGAGATAGTAAACACTGTGATGTAAGTACATGTATAAGGTAACATACATTTAATGTAAGTATAAGATAACATACTGACATAGTTAATTCAACAAACCATTACATTTGAATACCACCATCATCATCATCGGAATCCATGTATGGTATATTTTCCTCAGAAGAGGTATTGCTGGCATATATATGCCTCTACCTTTTTTTCTTTTCTATCAATTTTATTTTCTTTCTTAATTATCTTTTACAAATCTTCCTTTCTTTCTTTCTCTTCCTCTCTCACTTTTCTTGCTTTATCTTTCTGTCTTTCTTACTCCTCTTCTTCTGGTCTTCTCTTACTTTCTCTCACATTAACAAATTCAAAGCAACAGAACCTTACAACACTTTTGGGATTTTATTTCTAATGAAATTGACTTTTCTTTTCTTTATTTCAGGGATAATGAGTTTATTAAAGGCAGAAGACTTGTCTGAGACAGTTGAAGTACATGTAGTTGCTACTATAAGCTCAGAGTCAGATGGACCCACTTGCTTTCAGGAGATATTAAGGGGAAAAGGACTGATCACATAAAAAACTTAGTCAAAATCTCTTTCTTGGATAGTGAATAACCTGAAATATAAAATAAAGATTCATAGTCATGGCAAATGTGTTTAAAATAGATGAAGAACCTATTAATATATATAGGAAATTTGATTTGCAACGTTTTATTTAAGAAGTTATCAAAATTACATACATTTGTAGTTGAAATACATGAACCATAACATCATTAAAAGGTGCACTTCATAGATTATTTCAGCATATAATTTTTGTTTTCCGATTTCAACAGAGTATATATTCCAAAATTCAAGATAGAACTTTTGCCATCAGATTTGCATAGTTTATTTGAGCTTTCTCCTTAGCAGGAGTCTAAACTGACGGAAGTCCGGGCCTTGTTGGCATTTCAGGAACTCTTCCCAAATGGTTATCTAAAAGGGTGGTCCTTGGAACCCCATATAGCCTGGCAGCCTTTACCTTCGACATCCCATTACATCTCATAGTTGACTTTAACTTCCACTCATTTTGGGTGGCAAGTATTGGACCCTCTTATGATTTTGAGATGACGTCTAGAACAGGAGTAATATTCTTTCATGACTGTACTGAAACCTATCATCTTTAAAGGTTTTAATTTGTCTGAGGTAGAACTAAATGTTTACTGTTGAACATTGTATGTGAATGGATAATTAAATAAAACATTAATATTCTATATAGTTACATTATTTTTATACTCTTCAATAAAATTCTTTTTAAAACATAAATTTTTATTTAAAAATTGCAATGTGTCGATAACTGTAGACCTTTCTGTTTACTGGACGTAGTTATCGACACCCCCCTACAACTGTATCAATACCGTTAATATTGCATATTTAGTGGTCTGCAACCCATACACATCTAATATAAGACTAAACAAAGTGGAATAACTCTCGGAAAAATAAAGCGAAAATCACAACTTTCAGATATTACGTAACTGACTGCCTTACCCTGTGACGTAAGCTGTCCTGTCTAGTAAACAAATTGATGCAACGGTTATAAAATGCATGCAAATTTGACTTGACAAAACTCCGTGGACTTTTGCAAAATAGCAAAAGGAACGTGTAGATAGTGTTTCAGGGAAAAGATTACCTCAAATGTGTTTGACAAGTTAATTTGAAAATTTTAAATAATGAAAAATAATAAAACTGTCGATAACTATAGACTGTCGATAATAGAAGCACTTGCTCTATTACACATGAGGAAGTGAGTATCCATAATTTCTTTATTTGTAATTTGCTTAATTTAATTAAAAATGAACCAAAGTAGTGGGTGGGGTATGACGATTATTTTGAAGTTTTATAAAAAATCTGGAACTTAAAATACTGTATTTTTAGTCCCAGACAAAATACAATTGCGTTATCTGTGAGAATATTACATGTAGGTCATATTATATTAGGCCTAGCAATGAGCAAACTAAATAACTAGTTCATTTGTGATTTGGTAGTGCTGCTCTTGTTGCTGCACACAGGGTCTTTCAAATTATATTTAATTACCTTTTTTAATCACCATTGATTATATCTCCATATTTCACTTTATAATTAACATGTATGTTAAACACTAAAAAAATGAGGGGTGACTGAAGTTTTTCAATCAAATTCCAACAAAAAAGGTTGGGGTGTCTGTAAAAAATGGCTTAGGATGAAGTGTCTGAGGGGTGAACTGTCTGTAAATCTATTGAATGACTATAATAAATGCTGCCTTGGTTGTAAAAGATTTGATAATGAATTTCGGTACACATGAAATCGAACCTGAAACCCTGGTTCTGGTCCTTCATGCCATATATGCATCTTATATGTATATTTACAATACTGCACCAGTCTTCGCCTTAATTTTTTATCAGCACTAGCCCAGTCGGGCTAGCAGCTTACAAATTTCACTAGCCCGAACACATTTTAACTAGCCCGAACCAAAATGGTATTTTTTGCATACATTTTGTACAGAAATAACACTTTCTATATGTTTTATATACCATTTAACATTATTAAAATAGCAACTAATCAACTTTTCTTCCTTTCATTATTTAAATAAGAAGAGTTAAACTACATATGAAAGAAGATATATTTAAATATTTCTGTGGCATTGTCCACAGACACTGAAAAAAATTGTTTAAAAACTGAAAAAACTCTTCTCCTCGTTTACTGTAACCATGTCGGCTGATGCACGCATTGACAACATATTTATATTCCTTTTCGTATAACCTTTATTTTTTTTGGTGTGTTCCTTTTTGGCTTAGTGCCTTCAAAATACAAGAGAAAAGACATATTGTGAAGCATGAGATGACGCCTAATAAATGTCTAACAATCAATAATATTTCATGAGCGTTTTAAGTTCAATAAAGCTGCAAATAATTTTTAGGGCCAAGGTGGTTTACCCATCAACATCTAGAGTAAAATGAAAATTCTGGGGTAAAATTTATAAAAAGAATTTGCATTGTTTTGTTATCAAATTTCATTGCCTTCTAAAAAGTTCCTTTCTTTACATAAATCAGACTGACTTATATAATAAAATATTGATTCAATGTGAAATAATACAAAACTTGCTCTGTTAAGACAGGCTTCCCTAGACTAGGGTTTGTTTAGGTTACACAGCAAATTAATGACAAGACTCATTTTTTTGTTGCTGACATGTTGTTGTTTGAAAGTGTCACATTCTTTTCCAATCAGCTACATGGTCAGCATGAGGCTTTATTCATACTCTATTTCTACAGACTACATTTTAGTTTTCTTTGGTTTTGATTATTTATAATTGAAATTAGAATTAATGAAAAATAAATATAATAGAATAAAAACTTTTATACACAAAGAATTAGTCTTTGAGGAAATTGTCCGTAACTGTAAACTTGGTACGAAAATAGTGAGTACAAAACTGCAGATGGCAAGGGAGAAATATGTTTTCCAATAGATAAAGTGGCAAGTACAACACATTTTTCTTTATTTTGTAGCAAAAACATTATAATATATGTCTATACCCATTGAATATTAGGTTAAGTCCTACGATGATTACACCAAATTTAACTTTATCAATAATTTCATTCCAGAAACTCCCAAGAGTTACCTTCCCTTTTTACTCGATGTCACTTCCTGCTACTTTCGTTTTCAACTTACAGCAGTGTTGACAATAGTACTTTTAGTTTTCCATCCAATTCAGTAGAAATATATTGTATTTTCATAAAGCCAAAACATTGCTATCTGGAGCTCTGAATATTTCCAACATTTTCTTAATTTGGATATGAAAAAAGCCCTCGACCAGACGGGCTACCAGCTTGGAATTTTCACTCGACCACCCGTAAATTTACTCGACTCGGTCGTCGGTCGAGTGGGTTAAGTCGAAGACTGCTGCACGTTTATAACGTCCTTTTTCTTTGGATAATCGTGACGTTTATATAGTTTTATATACACGGCTGCTGTTGATTCATGCAGAAATCTTACTTTTTCTCTATAAACATGATGCTTGCTGTAATATAAATTTGTTATAAAGATTGTTGACAGGTTATATGGCCGTTTATAAACGGCTGTTTGCTATATAACCCTTGCCTAAGGCTTGGGTTTATATTTACAAATAGCCGTTTATATAGGGCCATATAACCTGTCAACGATCTTTATAACTAATTATATATACACTTATATGGTATGTTCTGCATATCTATAGCTTGTCATTTTTTGGAAAAATAAGTTAACTTGTATGAACAATTTACTGGCATTGTTGTGCAAATACTGTTGCTCATTACTCAAACACTCAATATAAGTATTATATTCAATACTCATGGCATTCATATTTGGTCCAAATTAAATGATACATGATGGCATTGCACTATTACTTACAGAGACCATAAAAAGATAAAAAGTCTTCAAAGCCCATATCCCTATGTTATTAGACCTAATGACCTACATATACATCTGCATTGAAGAATCAAAATAGGTTCAAGGTGAGCAATTCTCTTACAAATTAAAAATTCTTTGCGTAATGCTAATGATATTTAACTTTTGAATTTTAAACACAGGTAAAAGTATGTGTTGTGTACAATGCAAGGTCCTACATATGTGACGGCAACTTCTTTCAAGAATGGTGGGGGAAATGATATACAGCAAATTTAAAGGAGGTTTACCAGCAGGTCATTTGTACTGTGGGAACTGTGGAGGTAAAAGTGAAGCAGGTATGTCGTAATTTTTCTTTGAAGGAAGATGTCCTCTCAGATAATTTCCTCTGTAACAAGAGAATGTGGTATGAGTGTCCGTGGCCGAGTGGTTAATGTTGTTGTCTTCAAAACCACTTGCCCCTTACCGCTGTGGGTTCGAGTCCCGACAGGGACTTTGAATTCTCTCATGTAAGGAAGCTATCAAGCTAGCTTATGGAATGTTATTGGTTCTACTCGGGTATGGGTTTGTTCCTGAAATAATGCACGGAAGAGTAGTAACCCACCAGTAAAGCTGTAACATCACCATATGACCTATACTGTGTCGGTGTGATGTAAAACCAAATAAAAACAAATAAAAAGAGAATGTGGTGGTTCAAAAGTAAATGCGAAAATGCTTAACATGTTGAATGATCATATATTTAAGGAAATACTTGTGTTTATTTCTTTCTGTTTTGAACAATGTTTGTTTTAGTGTTAATATGAACATATGTATTTGGTGTTAACATTAATATTTACAACATCTGCTATTTGTACTTTATAACTAAAGATAAATTAATTTACATTTACTCGGCTTTCTCTTTAAACATTTTTTTTGACTTTAAAGATTTGCCCTCATTTTTGAATATAAACCCTTTTCCCAAAAGTGAAAACTGAATTTAAATTCAGGGGATTGCAATTTACACTTTGATCAGGTGACAAAGGGAAAAGGGGCACTGTCTCTTGAAAATAAATTTTCTCCCAATTTATTTGTCCAATTTATTGGGTAAATTCCCCATTTTTTGGGGCCTGAAAAAATTGCAGGGAGGGCACCTAAAGGTTTTCCCTCACCTTTAAAGCTGGAACTTTCGCGATATGACCTTTTACTGTGTCGATGGGGACAAAAAAACCCAAAAAAAAAAAAAACAAACAGGTTGATACTGGGATTTTTCCCATCTGTAGCAGGGTCTGTTAAAGGGTGAAGCTCTCACCATATTATTTTTCCAACAAATTAAAGGGAAGTTTCCTTCCCCTTCCTGAGAAAAAAAAACCTTTTATTCGAAATAATGTAGAGTATTCAAGAAAATTAAAGGGACTCCACTTAGGTTTGTGTTTTAGGTGATGGGACTGGAATTTTTGTTATTGTTTGATGTAGGTTTATAGCAATAGCTTGTGACAATAATTTGTTGCTTTTTTTCCAGAATGCTTGATTGTATATTATTAACTACATGTAAATTTGAAAAGCATTTTAAAGTTTTAAACTTAAATCAAGCTAATATTAATTCCACTGGAAATCAATTGTCATTTCAATTCTGAGTATATTTCCATATTTTAAAAGACTTACTATGGTTGTGGTGATTGAATTATAAATGATAATGACAAATGTTGATGAAAAAATATCAAAACTACCTAAAATATGAAAAAATGCCCCCCTCTTTTTATAAATTGAACATAACCTGTAACAACTGAGAAGGATATTTAAAGAAGTTCATGGACATAGCCATTGTTGATTATTTATGTGAGATCAATTATAAAATTGAAAAACAAAAGTGACAAAATGTAGTAATTTTCATGTGAGCTTCTTGGATGGGCAGTCACTTTAAATTATGATTTAAACCTTTTGGATCACAATGTAGCTATGACTAATATGACTTATTATGGTCATCATCTGTACCAAGGTATTGGATATATATCAAAAGTGGATAAAAGAGTGCATTTTTTTACAATATGTTGGAATGTCTGAAATATATTGTGTCTTAAAAAGTTTATTGCAATTTTGTTTAGAATTTTAACATTTATACCAATTCTTCTGTATTTTTCAGGGACCCAATTCAGGGGCCAGGATGGATGTTAATATCATCCAAGAATTTCGAGACATGTGCAACTTGATGAAGACTTTACAAAACAAAAATTGCTTAATTAACACATACTTTAACTTACAACCTCCTGTCAGACATTTCTGCAAGGAATCAATTGTACCATACACCAAAGGCTTATAGTGATTTTGACATTTTTTAAGTTTATGGTATTTTTTATGAATCATAACAAATGGATTCAGAATCTCCTTGTTAGAGATTATGTTGATTATTCAGTTTGAATGAGGGGACACATTCAGAACACCTTGCCAATAACAGTATACCGATAATCCTCTTGCAAAAAGTTCTGTTATGTCTTTTTATAAAGTAACAAATGAAGAGGCCAAGGAGTAATAAACATATTTATTAGAATTCCTACATATAGGAAATTTAAGTGTATTTCAGTGACTAGTATAATAATAATTTCAAGGACGTCTCAGAATATAAATAAACAATTACAATGTAAATCCCCCCCACCAGCATACAATTACAATAAAAGGACTAGAAATAACATAAAAATCATGTATTTGCATTCTTGCTTTGTAAGAACATAGTAGTGTAATCATCGATCAAGAAATGTACATTTTACTTTCATAACTTAAAATATTTTTATTTAAATGGACTTTTTCCTAACATTTATTTTCTTGTCATGTTATTTGATAAACATGTATAATTATAATGTACAGATATTTTTTGTGTTTGAATGAAACTTTATATATATTTGTTCTTGTTGTACCAATTACTTATTATATTTTGTAAACACATATGGAGAGTGCAATTTTCTTTACATATTAAATTTGTTTTAGTATTTCATGGCATCATTTTTGTTATCTGAAATATTGCTTCTCTTATTACCACTTCCCCAACACAAGGTATATTTGAAGATTGTTTATTGGAGTTAGCTTTTCTGTCTTTCATTTCCTTTTTGAATTTTCTTTTTTTTTTTAAATGGAAAATTTGATATTTTGCTACAGTTATGTCATTGCTGTCTGATAACTTTAAAAGTGGTCATATCTTTTTGTTAAATTTCAAAATGTATTTTCTTTATGCTCTGGCAAAACAACCTTTAGAACAAGACCTTCAAGTTAGACAATTTGTTGACCTTTAAAGGCACTTTATGCCTCTGAAATGCTTTTATTTTCATTTTTAGCTCGACTATTCGATAAGAAAAAGTAGAGCTATACTAGTTACCCGAGCGCCGGCGTAACCACCTATGTTAAAGTTTTTGTAATACCTCAAATATTTGCAAAGTCCATTGACATATAGCTTTGAAACTTTGCACACTTGTTCACCATCATGACCCCAACCTGTAGACAAAAGATGGTAACTGTATCAAGCATTTTGACATAATTATGCCCCTTTTTGACTTGGAATTTACATTTAAGTTTTTGTAACACTTCAAATATTTCCAAAGTCCATTAACATATGGCTTTGAAACTTGCACATTTGTTCACCATCATGACCCCAACCTGTAGACAGGAGGTAACTATCAAGCATTTTTGACAAAATTATGCCCCTTTTTCTACTTATAATTTACATTAAAGTTAGCATACCACCTCAGATATTTTCTTTGACATCTTGCTTTGAAACAAGTTGAAATTTTATACACTTCTTTGTGAGCATAATTAAAATTTTTGCATGAAATTTATGCCAAAGTGATCAAAATTACTCGACTTTTTGTTGGAGGTAGACAAGCTAAAAATCTTAAGTAAAATTCTGATTTTAAAAGGGAAATCATTGTAAATATTTGCATTTTTCAAAAACAAGAAATATTCATCAGATAACTCTTTGTAATATTCTTTAGAAAGAAATTAGCCAAATCTGTTGAATGATTCATATTTTGTCCTTGAAGGCGGAAAAATTCCTGTTCAAATATTTTAGAGTAACAAGACCAAAGTAATAAGGTCATAGTTTTTGGCAAAATAAAACACATTTAGCTTGCATAAATATGTATTTATCACAGAGAATTATTGATCACAAAGAAATATAATGTTGCATCGCTAAAAATATTTTTAATTTTCAAATAACAATTAAAATTTAATAATATGCAAAACAGAAGCCAGTGCAATGTGAGGCAACACTCTAACTTTTTCTAAATTCAAACAAATAAACAGTTTTAAACAAACAGTTAAAAAATGTAAAAAAGAAAATGCAAATAAACAGTGTATCAAACTTTAACATGAGCCATTGCCAGGTGGTTGCAATGCTAAGCTTTTTTCTTTACTTTTCTAAAAGCAAACAAACTGTTTAAACAAACCTCTAACTAGAAAATTAAAAACAAGATCACCGCTAGGCGGAGCATTATATGCCCGAAAATGATTTTTATTTAGTAAAGATGAAAGCATTGTTAGACATTGGAATAAAATAATTAATTAAATAATCAAATAACAATCCTCCTATGAAGTTTGAATATTGTGGTCCAAATGGAACTTAAGTTATGCCCTAATAATTGTTTTCAGTTTTAAAGTAATAAAGACCATGACCTTTGACCTTGTGACCCTAAAAATTACTAGGGGTCTTCTACCCAATATGGACAATCATCCTATGAAGTTTGAATATTGTGGGCCAAATGGAACTTAAGTTATGCTCCGGAAACCAAATTGCTAACGGACAGACGGACGGACGCCAGGGGATATAACATAATATGCCCGAAATTCTTTTCCATAAATAAATGACAGTTAAGAAAATATTATACAAATTCAATTATTTGACCTTGACGGTGAAGGTCAATTATAGGTTAAGTTCAGTTCAACCTTTTTGAAGGTCTTGTCCAAAAGGTTGTTTTGTCAAAGTATGCAGATAATGCATTGATTGCCATGTACAGTAAATCATAGAAATACACAGTGAAATTCAATAATTTGACCTTCAAGTTTTGGTTTATACAGAATTTATTTTAGTTCGATTGTGTAGGAAGCTATTAGCTTACAAATACACTTTCGAATCCATTCCTGGAACTATCCAGTACTGAGCAGTGAGTGTAAAGTTTCTTGCTCAAGGAAACAAAGACTTGCCCCTGTCAGGGTGTGAACCCATTCAGCTAGCGATAATTAGATTACTAGTCCAATGCGTTAACCACTCGGCCATGCCACTACTAAAAGTTTATTATGGGTTTGGTATAGATGAAGGTCCTGACCTAAAAGATGTTATGTCTAAATATGAATATAAATCACAGAATTATAGCCAGTTACAGGGAAAAAAAGAACTTCATAAATCGGATCTTGATTGTCAATAAAAGGTCAAGGTCACTTCTAAATTACTCAATGTTTTTTGAAAGCTAAGCTTGCTTAGTCCAAGTTTAAATCAAATCCACACAAGAAAAAGATAATTATGACAATTTAACCAAAATTCAAGTTTAATTGTTTATTTATTTAAAAATGTATTTCTTCTTAAAAATTTGACAAAATCCAAACAAAACAGTGATCCCAGAAAGAATGCATTGTTTTCATAGATTTGACATTGTGACCTAATTTTTCCCAAATGTTACCAAAATCTAAATTTGCCAAAATATAAATAAGACACAAATTCAAAAACAGTTTTAAATTTTAAAGAAAACTGTCACCAGGGATTTTTTGGCTTATTTTATAGCCGTTATTGGGTCATATTCCCAATTGAAAATAGTATATTATTTTCCCAATCCACAGGAAAAAATTCCCAATTGAAAGTTACAAAATAAAAAAATTGAATAGAAATTCTAAAATCTTTTAAAAAAAAAATAAGGGCTTCTCCACTGTAATAATCCTTAAATATTTGAAGATGCCATCTTAGACAGTAAATGTTTGTATCCATTTAATCACTGTAAAATTTCAGTCATGCATTTTTTCTCAATTTTTTAACAAAACACCGCTGGAATTCCTAATTCCATGGGTATTGGTCATGTTCCCAAATTCCTGGAAAAAATCCCTGTATAGCTTTCTTTACATTTAGCTATAAGCAATATTTATACCTAACCAATATATCATAAATACAAAAATCTAACAAAGTTTAAAGAAGATCAAATAAATATATAAAGAAGGTTTTTCCTTGATTGAATCTGGTTATCTAGCTTTTACCAAAGATACCCCATTTTCACCCAAGAATCATTGATATAAACATGCTTACTATATTTGAAGACAAGTTTTAAAATGTTTTTCTTTGATTTGATGCGGTTAAAGAAACAGTTGTCACTTTTCTTTATTCAATATGTCTGTTGCAATTTGGTTATATATTAATATATTAAATTACCAGTATCTGAACTTTGGTTCTAATATAGTGTGTAACATTGAATGCCCTTCCTGGTAGGCAACTTAACTGGTCAGCAATAATAAGAATGACTTTAAAAGTATGGTAGAATAAACTTAAATACAAATCCAACAATGTTTTACATGAAAATGGCTTTATCCAAACTGGTAAAAGTGCATGTATTCTTTGCTAGATAGGCTTGGGCATGTAGCAGTTAATACTTCAGATTTAATACAGTCAGTTAAAGGCTGACAGTCACATTTTTCACAAGTTATTAAATCAACTTAAACTTTGTCAAGCTGAAAGTTGTTGTCAGTGCTCCGGAGAGATAGTGTCCTTTTCCAGTTTTATACTTCAAAATAGCAGGTGTCACATTCCAAGCTGTAAAATGTTGCCGCAAACTTCACTTCAATATTGTTATATTTTTCTGGACCTTCAGGATCATTGATTTGAACTGAGTTCCACTATAGCCCGTGTTAGGCGGTGTAGGGGATGTTGCACTTTTCCTTAGATAGACTCAAGCAAAGTCTGCATTTTTCATGTAATTTTAGAATCACTCTTTTTCCAATTTTTTAAAACATACATAATTATAGCCAATATCTCTTCTATCATATGCAGCTCTATGATTTCAAAGTAAAAACTCTGAAACTGTCTATGTCTCTTGTGTTCTTGTAGATTATAACGTGACCTGTAGAAAAATTATGAACCATTAAAGTAAACAATTTATAATAGCTCTGATATGGATAATTCAAAATCTTTTTAGATAGTGATACATAAAAAAATGCCTTTTACTTTCAAAATAATTGGATCCTAGTGGCTAACCATCTTATCAACTTAGCCTTAACACAGAAGCTTGAATGTGACAATATTCATAATTATCTTTTAAATAGAACAAACTGTACATATATAATGACCTAACTCACCAGTATGTGATATTTTCCACAAAACTACCAAAACATGAAAAAGCAGAAACACTTCCCCAATCTCTCAAAGTTGTGCACACTCTATGACTGTCAGCAAAAACTGTAAACAAAGAGGTTATATAAAACACAAGATTCTGAATATAAATAAAATAATATGTAGTTTAATTAAAAGAAAGTTTAGCCATCCTGTCATTATGATGCTTCCACATAAATGAACATACATTTCATGTACTATATTAATATTTACTAAGTTAAAAAAATCATGAAATTATAACTATTGTGACTGTCAGGTGGGCACAGGCTTGACTTTTTCTTTTTCCTACTTGAAAGATAAACTATGCTAATCCTTGAGTTAAGTATTTTAATCACAGCAATTTATTGAAATTCTTACTGAATGTGTTTAATTTGAATAAAAGAATGAATAAACTATGTATGGGAAGGTGTTTTCCTAATAACTGGTCAAGTGAAGTTAGTCTTTTCTTTAAAAAACTGCCAGGATTTTTTAAATTTTTAAATGACACTATATATTCATATTTATTATTGTGATCACCTTCAGTGTATAGAATTTTAAACATATCTTCTTTGTTTTAAGACAAAACATGTTTATTTTATATTTTCAAAAAGGCTGTATAGAATTATCAATATTTTCTAATATTAAAATCTTTAAGGTCAAACACATTGAAGAAAGTATATGGGAGTAAACAATATCCTTGAAAACCATTACTTCCTTGAACAAATTTTAATTGAGCTTGATTGTCAAGGGCATTTAAAGGTCACAGTCAAATTTGAATCATTATCATCATATCAGTTTTTTTCCATATGTGTTATTTTGCCAACAAGAGGGCCATGATGGCCCTGAGGTCGCTCACCTGTATATAGGCCCCCGAAGCGGGGCCAGTTTAAACCCCAGGGCTTTTATTTGAACAAACTTGGAATTAAGACACCCATTAGAAGATGTTTCATGATGTTAAGTTTTTGCTTTACACATATAAGGAAAAACAATGACCTTCCCCCCCCCCGGCAGAGTTAATTTTAACCCAAGGGCTTTTATTTGAACAAACTTGGTAGACACTCATTAGAAAATGTTTCATGCCAAATATCTAAGCTCTAGCTCTTTGGTTTTTTTTAAAGAAGATATTTTAAGTTTTTACTATATGCATATAGGGAAAATCAATAAACCCCGGGGGCGGGGCCAATTTTGACCCCAGGGCTTTTATTTGAACAAACTTGGTAGACACTCATTAGAAGATGTTTCATGCCAAATATCTAAGCTCTAGCTCTTTGGGTTCTTTTAAAGAAGATATTTAAAGATTTTTCTTTTGGTTGCCATGGCAACCAGAGTTCTGCATGGAATTAAATTCTTTGAACAATTTTTAAAGGTGACCACCAAAGGAACATTCCTGTGAAGTTTGGATGAAATTGGCTTAGTGGTTTATGAGCAGATATCATTTTAAGCAAAAGTTTACGGACAGACGCCAGACGAAAAGCGATCACAAAAGCTCACCCTGTCACTTTGTGACAGATGAGCTAAAAATGAACAAATCCAACAAATAACAAAGTCTTGACAATTTTAGTAAATTTCAATAATTTTGCCTTGATTGTTAATGTCAATTAAATGTCAATGTCAAAATAAAAGATTCAACATGTAGGTTTGTCATATGTGTTCTTTGTACAAGTATGAATCAAATATGTACATAAATAACAAAGTAATGACAATTTAAGCAAATTTCAATAATTAATTTTAACCTTTCTTCATGTCAAAGGTCATATCAGAATACCTCAGCATGTTAGTTTGGTAATAAGGGTTCTTTTGTCCAAAGTGTAAATCAAATCTGCACATAAATAACAAAGTTCTGTCAAAGTTCACTTTAATATTTGATCCTGACAATAAAGGTCATATAAAGATCAAGGTCAAATATATTAATTACTTTACATTTATATTGATAAAGAAGAAAGTCACTGTCACTTTTTCATATGACTAAAGAAGAAAGCCACTGTCACTTATTCACTGACTGGACATTTTTCTTTCTGTAACAGAGGCAGTAATTTAGTGCCCAAAATATCCCAAAAGCATGCAGTTTTGTGTGAACATCTTACCTCCTCTAAATTCTAGAAGTTTTAAGACTCATGACATTTGCTTATGCTTCCAAACAAATATGATTCCTGGCCCCATTGTTGGTCTTTAAAAAGAAATTTCTGACAGGATGAACAAACAAATCCTGAAAATAAAAGTATATCTATGATGTAAAAAGAGAAAAAATTATATTTTAAGATTATACAAGGAAGCTATTGAAATTTTTCAAGACCAGATCTTACTCAATGGGAGCCCAATATTTCATTAAACTAAGTTTTAAGTTAATACAAGGCATTATCATTGGACACAATGTTTTTTTTTTCTAAAATGTTCCTGGGTACTAGTAAAAAGGGACACCTTAAATGAAGTTATGTATATAGTCTGTTGTCTAAACTCTAATCACCTTGCCACTTTTGCATGATGTCATTTTACTATTGCTAATGATGGGCAAACCACATTTTAATAGGGGATACATATTTAAATAGTAAATATATTACTTTGAATTAAATGTATTGTGTGCAACAAATAATTTGTATCTGCCACAGTGGAAAACAACCCTTACAAACTAATTAAGTGTAATTCAGAGCAAATGCAAATGATATTGAACATTTGACCATATATTGATATGGCATGACAAATATTGTCGATACTAACTTACTATATTTCACTGATGCATGTACATCAATAATTGTTTATAATTTAATAGTGATTTTTTTTGGTTGATTTTGACCCCAAAATAAGGCCTCTTCACAATGCCAAAAACACATAAAAAATTCACAAAAATGTGTAAAAAATTCACAATTGGCAGCATTGCTTTTCAGTACCAAACAAAATAATAAACTGACAAATGACAATCTTGAGAATTTGATTGATATATTTGAGGGAATAAAAAGAAGAAAGCTGAAACTATGTCATGTCTATAATTATTAAAATGAATGAATAAAGTGACTACAGCCGGTGATGATATATTCTTGTTTATTTTTTCACAATTTGACAGATTATCGCGCTAAAAATTCACAATTTCAGGGGTATAGGTTGTTGCGAAAAAAGTAAAAAAATCACTGAATAAATTCCAGTGACTGTGTTCAATCTAGCTTTGTCTCAAAGAGGGTCCAGTGGGCCACATGCCTCGATATAGGGGGTGTTGAGGGAACAGCATGACAACAAAACATGTTAAAGTCAAATTTTAATACAAATACATGTATACTATTGTATGTACCTTTAAATACTTGATTGCAGAATACAGAAATTCACAATTTCAGATCAATAAGTACACTTGTTGGCTTGTATTTACAAGTAAAATATGAAGCAGTACAAGCAGAAACATGAAGACTGCTTGTCTTTTCTGATGAGTTTATAAACAAGGAAGTTCAGACTGCTGGCATGAACATCATTATTATGTTTACATATCACAAAAGAAAACGGAAGCAAAGCTAGTATTTTGGGCATGTCTAAAATGCTCACTGTAAAAGTCAATGATGGGCGCATTCCATTTATGCTGCCATCAATGGTAAATATAGAGCCAAGTATGTTTTATACATACTTTCATGTAACACTTAAATGTTTCCAGTTTTCCACTGCTAATGTAAACATATGACCAGTTGTCATTATTTTAAATCATTGTTTCATTTTAATCATAGTAAGTAAAGTTTTACTTAATCAATGTTCAGTTTTGTTGAATACACTTAAAAACTTGTGAAGTAGATTAGTAGAAATAAATCATTACATAACAACCAGCCTTAAGCAAGCAATCTTATTCCAAGATAATATAAGAAAAAAGTACCTAGTCCAGAAATTGTTGGTCAGCATTTTTTTGTACAGTTGATAGTTTTGATGTACATTACTACATATGTATTTTTTGAGTTTATGGCAATGAATTACCATATGGAAATGCTTCAAAGTTTTCTAAGCAAGTAATTTTAATCCTAAGTAGCCCTACGATAATGCAAGAAAACAGTAGAGGGTCAACTCGGCCCTAATCAAACTTGGAACTGGTGGACTCGGCCCACCATCAAAAATCTTTTAGGATTGATTGTTTAGTTTATAAACCTTTTTAGGAATAAATTACTATAAAAGTATTCAGAGGTACCATCACTAACAAACAGAAATTAAAAAAGGTCGGCAGTGTACTGTTTGAAATTATCTTAGTTAAGAAGAGATATCAAGTCAGAGATTAAGTTTTAGGGTCGGATTCCAAGACATGGATATGAGACATGCATAGAGATGTTTTCTTGTCCTTCCAAGTTAATTACTGAACCCATTTTGTAGTGCAATATTCATGCGATTACTGAATTGGATGGATTTTTTCGAAGATCACAGTTTTTTTAAACACTTGAACATAGCCCTTCCCCTTATTTTTTCAGCTTGGTGGAAATTCATTTCCTTATTTTGAGAAATACACATGTTTACAGATGACTGAATTCCTAGCAAACACACATATATCCTATACAGTATGGCACAGAGGTGGCAGTTTCATTTTCTTTTAGAGTTTCATTTTCTTTAAACTGTACCGTACTGTACAGTATTTATATAAGTCAGTCAATCATTGACAATTAAGATGTGGAATTCACATATAGTTCGTAACAGAATAAGTTTTATAAACAAAATTTTAATATGCTCCTGAAATAAAAAAAAAATCAGCTGTCACCCCACCCACTTTCTTGGCAATTTAGGACCTATTTAAAACACGAATTTAACAGTTTATAGCCGTGTTAGAAACAAAACGTAAATCTGATCATTGGTACTCACTTATTCACTTATTGAGATCTGACAAATATAGTCTTGTCAAATAAATCTAACATACAATCTATATTTCCAAAATTTCGTAATGGTTCTTGTGTTTGTGGTTGTTGTTGTTGTACTGCACTCGGAACACCTCGGGCGACTTCAAGATCTCCGAACTTGACGGAGATTGCCGAGTTGTTACGATTGCTGGAAGAGGGGGAGTTATATTTGCATCGACCAATGAAAACATTTCACAAATCCCGCTCTTTGGATATGAATATTAATGAAGCTTACGGCGGGTTTCTGATCAATTCAGTTCAAACCTCTTCATTTCAGCGGAAAATGACTATTTTTAGTAACAATTCGGCCGAACTGTTTTGCGGTGTAAAAACCCGTCAGTATACATACTAGAACAGAATAGAACTGATTTCCGTCAGAGTAGCATAAATCATACGAGCGATTCGGCGTTGTAATTTCGATGTAGCGACGGTAGCTCTAATATCGGAAAATTTAGACGGTTGATCAATAGGTTGAGTTAGTCGAGTTAATGACTGAGTAGCGTTTGGACAGTTATAACGGCGGAGTGGATAGTTGACGGCGGGGCAGGAATTTTTTAACGCCGGGGCGGGTTTTTTTAACGGCGGATTTCCGTCAGTTCATTTGAGTTACATTATAACGGCGGAATCTTTCGGCCGGACAAGTATTACGGCGGAGTGGATAGCTTATGGCGGAGCGGGTATTTCTAACGGCGGATTTCCGTCATTAGAAATTTACATTGAATTATATAGTAACGGCGGAAGGGTCCCATACCGCTTTCCATAATTTTCATACATTCAATTGCATACTTTTTTATTTATGACATAAAGTGATTAAACACAAAACACTATCAATTTTCCAAACACTTAGTAATATTCCAATACTTTTTTCCACAGTAAATATTCTTTGAAAATACGTTAATAAAAAACGAAACAAATATTAATTATAATAATGAACGTATTCAATAAAAACATTCAAATTCATTGAAAAAATATTGTTGGAAACTATGTTTATACAAACCTTTTAACTCGAAATTCTATGCATTTCTTCCTAATTATCGCATTAACACTCACGAAACCATCTTTAATTTACATCGAATAAAGACATGAAAGATACTACCAACTTCTTAAAAGAATTTGTTTTCACAGCTATACCTTTTTTGTTAATTGATTGCTTTAAACTGTTTTGATTATCACATCTGAATTAATGTTGATGTACATATAATTGTTGATGTTATATAATAATTCATCAATATTGCGTATAAAAGACTTAATCGGCGCAATTTAATTTACCGACTCTTTTTGTTACTATTGTTCTATAGTTAATAATCTTCAATTAATAATAAATCATTTTTATTCCATCATACAACAAAATGACTTAAAAAGTTTTTTTGAAAAATATATATTTTGGGGCCGGAATGACCAATTTTGGGGCCGCACTGACCAATTTTGGGGCCGGGTTGACCAAATAAAAATACCGTGGGGCCGGATTGACCAATTTTGGGGCCGGGTTGACCAATTTTGGGGCCGGGTTGACTTAGGGCCGGGTTGACTTGGGGCCGGGTTGACTTGTACCGGTTCATTTGAGTTACATTATAACGGCGGAATCTTTCGGCCGGACAAGTATTACGGCGGAGTGAATAGCTTATGGCGGAGCGGGTATTTCTAACGGCGGATTTCCGTCATTAGAAATTTACATTGAATTATATAGTAACGGCGGAAGGGTCCCATACCGCTTTCCATAGTTATTCAATACAATTTGATATAATGTTTATTTATTTTAGAAGATATACATGTATATCAAAGTAGTAAATGAGAGTAGTCACTCTTAAATAACTCCGTCTCAGCTACATACTTGTTCACCTTGTCAACAAGTCATTATCTTAACCGCTTTATCTAAACTACACTCGACTGACAATGATACGTTGTCTTTTATCACACTTGAACACTGATACCTTGTATCTGACGTGTGCCGTTATATTGTAGTCCTATATTCTAACATTGTCTAAGGTCTTATGATTGAGTGATAAAAAATCATTCCACACTTAAATTATGAACTATTTTTATGTAGAATGGCCAATTTTAGGTTATCATTATGGTTTGTTTTGTAATTCTTCTTCATGCTCTTTTCAGATTGTATCGGTTTCTTTTAAAAGGTATATCCTCCTGTATTACTTATAAATATTTTGAATCTCATATGGTTCATATATTGTAGCGTATATATTAAATCTAACACAATGAATTTATTTTGAGAATATAATATCAATATAATCGATATATACATCTAAATACCTTAATCAATATAAAAGATAATTATCATATACGCTTGTTAATATATAACATTTTAATAAAGCATAGCATGTGTATGATAATAGGTAATATTTACAATTCTTGTATATATCGTTTTCTTCTTTCAAATGCATAATATAAATACATTGCAACAGATTTTATAAGTTCTTCATTTTTAGTTGACATGATGATATTAAATTTATTAATATTTGGTTGAGTAAAATATTTCAAAGGTATGTATGCTGCACGTAAATCAGAATAATAATTACAGTTTAACAAGAAATGATATTCATCCTCCACAGTATTAGTATCACATAATTTGCATATTCTATTTTCTCTTATTGTATTATTATATCTCCCTTTTTCAATTTCCAGATCATAACTACCAATTATAAAATTTACATATGTATACCGAAACTTCCTGAGATTAAGAATATCAATATATCTTTCAAATATAAATTCCCTTTTGAAGGTTTTATATAGTTGCAACTTTGAATTTGTATTTAAATTTCATTCCACTCCTGTAGACTTGTATCTTTTAGTCTAGTTTCAAAATTTCTCAAAAAATAGTTTTCATATTGTACATCTTGGTCATACAACACATAGCTAAAACCGTAGTTTTGTAAACATTTTTTTTACAGATGTAACCCAATTAACATGTCCGTAGTAATCATCATTTAACATCATCTTATAACATTTCTTGACAATTCTATGTTCTGACATTTTTAAAATTTTTAACCAGTATTTTATTGCACTTCTGGAACAGTCACCTAATACTGCTACATTTGAAGCTTTTTGTTTAGCACATAGAAACCTTTTACATGCATAAGTTTGAACTCGTTCAAGCTCGTCAAATCTTCCTAATCCCCATATTTCAGACCCATACAGTAACTGGGGAGAAATTTTACAATCAAATAGTTTAAAAAAAGTGTAACTAGATAGCTGACCGTATCCATATAGTGAGTTCAAAGTAGATATCATTACACGTTTTCCTTTAACACATAGATCATGAACCATACTATTCATAGATATTTGCTGGGTAAACTTTAAACCCACATAACAAAAGCTACTGACAACTTCTAAGTAAGTATTTTTGTAAGTCCATTTTTCGTTTCTAGCCAAGACTCCGCCTTTTTTGAAAACAACTATTTTTGTTTTGGTTTCATTTACACTTAACATATACTTATCACAAAATTCTGAAAGCGCATTTAACTGACTTTGTAAACCTTTAACAGTATCGGACATTAAAGCGATGTCGTCTGCAAACATCAATAAAAATACTTGAAAAGTGTCGGGGTGTAATTGAATTCCCTTAATATCATTTTCAGACAAACATCGTTCCAACTCATCTATAAAGACTTAGTAACTCGTGGCCAAAATTCATTTATTCGTGGCCATGACATACACAAGATAAATACAAACATACACACATGTCACCTCTTTGCCACCGTATAGAATGCATATTTCAAGATAAATAAATGCCTTTTTTATACCTCTGTCCATTGGTCTGTTATTATAGCTACAAATACATGTATATCTTATAAATATATGCCAGATGTTTTGAATGAAAATTAAGAAAGACACCGATTTTATTTGCTCAGTACGGTGGCATAAAGGTGACATATGTGTGTTTTTATTTATCTCGTGGCCACGAGATACTATGTCGTGGCCACGAGTTACTAAGTCGTGGCCACGAGATAGCTTACTCGTGGCCACGAGATACTATGTCGTGGCCACGAGTTACTAAGTCGTGGCCACGAGTTAGCTATCTCGTGGCCACGAGATACTATGTCGTGACAACGAGTTAGTAAGTCGTAGCCACGAGATAGCTAAATCGTGGGCACGAGATAATTAACAATCAGAATACACGATATATGTTATGAATTTTTTAAACTTAACAACTTACTTTAACATGCAACATTAATCTTTAAAAATACTGAGGATATTCACTTTGAACTTGTCTTTAGGATCATATTAGAAAGTCACCTTCCAAGGCCCATCAGACATTAATTTGGACTTTAGCTCTTTGTTGGGACAATTTTGTACAGTTTTTTTACAGTTTGTACGTACTACGGCCTGTAAACCTTGTTTATACGATAACATGAGAAGTTTATTTTATTTGTAAGGGACATTGCCCATGGACAGTAGATAGCCTATTAGGTAAAACCCTTGTCTGATGAATAATTTAGAAAGGATAAGCCAAGGTTTATATAATCCAGAAAGATCATTGCACCTGATCAGTAGATGCCATCTAATAATTTCGAGGTCATTGGGTCAAAAATCAGGGTCACAGTGACGCTAAATGTAAAATTATGGACAAGTCAATAAGTTGCATAAATGACACATTTACAGGAGGGTAAAGTAGGGGCATCCTTGTACTATAGCACATGTCTAGTTAATTTGGAAAATTCACATAAATGGTGTAATCTGATTGGTTATTTATCTCGTGGCCACGACTTAGTAACTCGTGACCACGACTTAGCTATCTCGTGGCCACGACTTAGTAACTCGTGGCCACGACATAGTATCTCGTGGCCATGAGTTAGCTATCTCGTGGCCACGACTTAGTAATTCGTGGCCACGACATAGTATCTCGTGGCCACGAGATAAATAAAAACACACACATGTCACCTTTGTGCCACCGTAGTTCTGTCATACATGAATAGACTGCTACCACAGCGTACAACATAGGATACATAAAGGTCGGGTATGTATTACGATGACTTGTTAAGTCCGTCAGGCTACAGTATAACCCATACCCATGTTAAAAGCGATTAATTTAACTGGTACATACATTATTCATAATACAATGTGATATTATTAGCAAATATATAATCATAATAGATATAAACTAAATGATAGTGGTATGTACAATGTCGTAAAATGTTCGTCTGCTCGCGACGGCATATCATGGAAAAGAATAACTTGGCACGAATAAACACTCATCAAATAAAACTATAATGCATGTAAAATTTCTATACAAGTAATTGTTAAACCATAAATTAACAAAACAACGCGACAGTATATATTGATCAAAAGAACACCGATTTTCAAATACATGTTTGAAATTTCCCGGATTTGCATATAGAAATGGATAAGAACAGAAGCAACATTAGGTACAAATATATGAATGTTGAGGGGCATCCGTGATAGACGGGCATGGCCGACAGGTGAATATTACGTGGTTCTGAGGGTAGGGGCTGGGTTTCTCTCCCAAATACCGCGTCCAAAGAATGTTAAAGGAAACAATATAGGGATACTGGCGAAGTTACATATAAACGTATATAGATCTTAAAATTAATAGTAACTTAGATTAAGGGTATGAATTACGAGTACATTGTACATCCATCATGCTGCAGTACAACCCATACCCGAAATAAACCGGATATATCATTATTACCTAAAACATATAACATATTGAACAAAAGTCGTCTGCTACATGAATACACGAGAAATGAAACAATAGAACTACTAAAAG